GAAGAGGAGCAGATGTAGGTTGACACCACTCACTATCTATCACAAGGAACATAACTTCCAAATCAAGTTGAGAGCCTTCAAAGAAATTTGGTGATAGACCACAGTTCAAGTACAACACCCAGTACAGAAACTACAAAGGAAATCTTCACAGCAGCCAGCCATCAAGACAAAATGGTAGATATCGAGGAACATCACTGAAGAAACCTGTGTGGAAGAACACTGGAAGTCTCTGAAAGAGATGTGGAGAGAAACCTGTACAACCGTATTAGGAAGGAAGAAGAAAGAAGATAAGGAATGGATCTCGATGGATACATGGAAGCTGATAGAGCAGAGAGAGGAAGATGGTGAAGCAGAAGATAAACCAGTGCAACGACGAACAAAGACAAGAGGAACTGAGTACAATGTATGAAACACTGGACAAAGAAGTGAAGAAGAGTGCACGGAAAAACAGAAGACACTTCTACGACACACTGGTAAGTGAAGCAGGACACGCTGCAGGTAGGAGAGACCTGACAACATTGTATCAAATAACCAGGTTACTATCTAGAAGGGAAGAGATCAACACACATGAAACAAATAAAAGATGATGAAGGAAATATAATTACGAAAGAACAGAAACAAAGGAAACAATGAGCTGACTACTTCAAGAAGTTGTTGAATCGACCACCACCACCAGCACCACCTGCACTTCGTCCAGAAATACCACCTGCAGCCCAGCAACAGAACTACAAGTGAACATAAATCCCCCAACAAAAGTGGAAGTCCTGAACGCCATAAAGCCAATGAAATGCGAGAAAGCAGCACGACCAGATGGGATCCCACCAGATTCACTGAGAACAGACACAGAGACAAAAGCGGACATACATCACACCACTATTGCAGAAGGTGTGGAAGGAAAGGAAAGTACTTAGCGATTGGAAGAAGGACTACCTTGTCAAACTCCCGAAGAACGGCGACCTAGGTCTTTGCAAGAACTGGAGCAAAATCACTCTCTTGTCCACCCAGAGCAAGCAAAATATCAAGCCGCATCATCGTGAAGAGGCTAAAGGATGCACTGGATTCAAAACTACAACCGGAACAGGCAGGCTGGCTGGATTCAGGAAGTACAAATCATGTGTGAACCAAATTTCAACGCTTCGCATCATGTCATCATAGAACAGAGTAGAGAATGGCAGTCAACTCAACTCTCTACCTCAACTTTATCGACTTTGAGAAGGCCTTTGACAGCGTCGACCGAGAGGTATTTTGGCAGTTGCTTCAATACTACGGAATACCGCACACCTTTATCAATCTCATTCAACAACTGTATGAAGACGCTACATGCCAAGTAATCCACAGTGGAAAGCTCAGTGATGCTTTTGAAGTGAAGACAGGAGTGAAACAAGTTTGTTGCCTACTATCACCCATGATATTCCTGATTGTGGTCGACTGGACTGGATCATGCAGCAAACAGTGAGGAGCGAGAAGAGGGGGATACAACAGCTGGACCACGGAAAGGAACCTAAAAGACTTGGATTTCGCTGATGACTTGCGTCTGATGTCACACAAACTTGAAGATCTACAGGTGAAAACTAACAAGTTGACAGAAGAGGCAGGACAGTGCAGTGAAGACGGGACTTCAAGTGAATATAGAGAAGACAGAGGTGATGAATATACCCAACCAACAACAAACTCCAATCACCATCAACGGGAGAAACCCAAAGGAAGTAACTTCCTTCACCTACCTAGGCAGCATCGTTTCGACTACAGGTGGCGAAAGAGACGAGGACGTCAAATCCAGCCAGTATCGGAAAAGCAAGATAGGTGTTCATTAGCCTGAAACCAGTGTGGAGATCTCCTGCACTCAGCATAAAGCATGGACAAGATCCGGATTTTCAACACCAGCGTCAAGTCAGTGCTCCTGTATGGTTCGGAGACTTGGCGTGTTACGAAAGGGATTTGCAACAAACTGCAGACATTCATCAACAACTGCCACCTACGCTGACTTGTTTCTGAAGCTCAGATGGCCAGAAATAACAAGCAACAAGGAACTCACTCTGACTGGCAACGAACCAACCAAGAACCTATTGCTCAACAAATATGCAGAAGGAAGTGCAGATGGATTGAGTTTACAATGAGAAGGCCGTCAGTTACTTTAGTGGAACCCCCATGGGAAGCAACGAGCTAGGCGTCCGAGGTTGACATGGAGGAGATGGCGCGAGGTGGAAATGAGAGCTTGTGGGCTGTCGTGGAGCCAGGTTCGAAAGATTTCAGAGAACAGAGTGCACTGGAGACGTGCTACTGAAGCCCTATGTCCAATTAAAAAACCAAGGGATAAATAATAATATAATTATATCTATTTAGACAATTTGGTTCCACTTTATGTGAAGAGATGCTGCTATAGGACGTCCTTTATCAATTCGAAAGCCTTTCTGGATGATTTCAATATTGTAAAAATCAATTTTGTGACTTGAAATTATTGTGTAGAGCTATGATTGAAGTGTTTTCAAGTCTTTTAAGTTCCGCTAGATTTCCAGGGGTTCGGGTGGAAGCACTTCGGTGTTCATTTTTTCTAATTTTGATTTCACGTTAAGTTTGTCCTATGCATACTGCATCACAGTCTGACCATTTTACTCTATAAACACAATTAGATTGTGAATCCAGTGAGATCTCGTCCTTTCGATGGACTAAAATGTTCTGTAGTTTGTTTAATGTTCTGTAGAACAAACACTCTGATATTGCATTTGTTGAGGACCCTCCTGATTTTATCCCATGTGTGTGATCTGTGTGGGATAACTGTTGTCAAGGCCAATGATTTAGGAGTAGTGTCACAATCTAATTTATTTTTTCTATTTTGCGAATAAATTTCGCCGGATAGTTATTCATTTTAAGTATATTGTTCACGTATTTTAATTCCTTAACTCTTTCATTTCCGTCCATTACTAGAGCGCGTGATCTCTATAAACGGCTGAAGACAATAGAAACCTTCTCACCGACTGGATATGATGAACTAAAATTTAAATACTTATTCAAATGAGTTGCTTTCTTCACAACGGTTATATCTAAATGTTCATTTTCTTTCTGCTTAACAAGACAATCAAAGAGAGGCAGTTCCCCATTATCCGTTTCTTTTTCTAAACTGAACTTGATACTGGGTGATCTCGAGTTCACTACCACCAGGCTAGGTGATTTAGAATAGCGATACACATTAATTGGTGTTAGTGGGTTGGAGGTAGTCAGCAGAAAGCTCTGGAAATAGGTTTCGTACTTTTCGACACTCGTCAGCAAGGCATATGTGCAAACTAGAGGTAACTAATGCCCCGCCTGGAATTCGAACTCACGCCACTCATTGCTGAAGTCAGAGACCAAACAGCTTGTTTAATAAAGTCCTATAAAAGTTCAGTCACGGCCCAAGTAGCCCAGTAGTAACTTCTTTAACTGCAAAATTGTCTGACGACGGTCCAAATTTCAAATGGGATGTCAGTTCCCTCGAAGTTTCAGATATGCTATGAAGACAAGTACCAACAAGCACGAAAGTAGGGTCCAGGGCTTCCTGCCAATTGTCAATATACAACTAACATCTATCGAAATTTTCGAAGTTTAGGCGTAGAAACAATTCTAAATCTGTTTTGCAGTAATATACACAATATGTCTCAAATACAGTAGCAAAGAAAACGTCCAGAAGAGAAAGGCCGAAAACCTGGGAACCCAAGTGTACAGAAAGACAACTCACACTGATGAAATCCTCATCTACAGTAGCAACAACCCAACAACCCACAAGATCAGTTGCGTGCAGACTGTATTCAAATGAGTAGGAACACGCTGCAGTACGACAACTTTAAGGAGAAACGAAGAAAATTGTTTGATGTCCATCCTAAAGAAGAACAGCTACCCACGAAACTTTATCAGAAGATGCCTATCATCAACTACAAAGTCATCGACAAAAATCAATAAAAACATCATCCTACCATATATAAAGAACATATCAAAAGTCATGGCAAGATTACTGAGACCACTTGCAATTGGTGTGGACCAAAAAATTCCCTGCAAACACTATTATGCAGACCAAAGGATGCAACAACCAAAGAAGATAAACCGAATATCATTTACAAAATCAAGTGCAGTAACTGTAGTCAACACTACATTGGACAAAGTGGTCGCCCTCTTCACCTTCGCCTACATGGACATCAAGATATTTCATCACTCATTTCAAAGCACATGGATAATTATGGACATAAATTGAACTTTGACAATGTAGAAATCTTGGAGGGAAAGAAGAAACACAAAGAATATCAGAGGATTCCTAGAAGCTTGGCATTGAGGTCAGTCAGTCAGCAGTCAACAGATGTATAGACATAGACCCGATCTATCAATCAATAAGAAATATGATAAATGACAGAAAGGTCAGGCAGAGGAACAGCCACCAGGAAAGTCTGTACAGTGAATGGTACAACAATCAAAGGAAAGAACCAATCACAAACCGGTTCACCAGGGCAAGGTGCTAAATCACTCACGGAGAGATAATGACAGTTCACTTCGTACTGAAGTTAGTGCTGATGACGTCGTCTAGAAAGACGATGAAAGCTTCACGATTAAATTACTCAGCTCAGAGAACAATGCAACCAAGACCACCCACCTGAGCTACAAATATTCTCCACTGTCTCATAAAGCCTTATGCAATAAGTGTGGCTCACAGCCTAATAAATAAACTTGAATAAAGTTACATTACTGTACATCCATGTGGTAACCGAAACAGTATCGTTGATGCAAACTACGTTTCTTATTGCACAAAGCAAGATTATAAATGATATATCATATTGATATTTTGTCTTGTCATTGTGGCTCATAGGTCTAAATAATCAGTTTTGAACCAGTTCGTCATGAGTTTTAACCCTGCTTCATCTATCGATGTTATGGCAGCCAGGCAGTATCATAAACCTTCATACAACAGATGTGGTTCATTGCCTACTGCAGGGATGTGTGTGGTTCTCTATTATATTCCCTCTTTTATTTCATAACAGATTATGGAAGAAAATGAAAGAATTAGAAAAGTTGAGAAACAAAATGAAATTGAAGCAGATAGAGAACAGTTGAAATTCAATCCCATCAACTGGAGACATACACTAAAATAAGAGAAATTATAATTTGTAATTTTCACGTATTTTCTTCTTAAAAGAAATACCCTTGAAATCCATGCATTAAAAGTTTCATTATGTGAGTATATTAAAAGTAGAAAAATGAATAAATGACTTTAAAACATACATATTTACATTTCTTCTGTAGTTGACAAGAAAGAGTACAAAATGATCAGTCTAATGTATACAAGCATACTACAACTGAGATAATATAGGAAACTTAAATTTAATTACTTTAGCGTGAAGTGAAATACAACTTCTGTTTACAGATGAAGTTATGAGGAGTATAATGGGCATTCTCAAAGTTGATACGGATTTCAGGGTGACTTTTAGGCTTAACTATACTTAGTTTTTTCCTTCTGTTTCGGAGACACATTGATTGATTAATTTCGGACATTAAAAAGGTTAATCGATGCACTTGAGTTTAGTGTATTGCTTTCTTATCCAGCTCTGTATCAATTTTTTTTATTTTTACGGGGAATATTTATGCTTTTTGTAGACATGGTGCATATCTTTTATTTTACATGTACAGCATACTTGGGTAGAATGTGAAGTCTGAAATTCATGTTTTATTTTGTAGCTTTTCATAGTGTGGTTGTATTGTCGTTGTAGTTTTACGCCTATGTTTAGAATATACCTTACTTATTTTATATTAAGAACTGTAGGATTCACAGCTTTCCACTGGATGCTACAAATTTAAATAATTGAAAATTAAGTTGAATAAAGATATCTTCGAGGTCTCATGAAGTAGTTTCAACAGTAAATTTAATCAAAATAGTTATTTGTTATCAAGTTAAAAAATGAACCAAGCAAAACTCTCACACAATAGGACATCCTTTAATAATAGCATTATCAAAAAAATAGGAGAAAGGAATGGAAAGAGATATTGGTATTGACTGATAATTTAGGAACTGGCTACTTTTGAATATATATATTCAAAAACTTGCTTTTCACCTTGTGGTTGTTATGCTTAAGATGCATGCAACAGTAAGAAGCTACAATTTGATTTGCACTTACGATATATATTTCACAAGGTGCACATCTACTGATAGGCAACATTTATCATTATTTATTGATCTACTTGTAATTCTCCGTTGTTTAATTGGATTGGATTGTTCGACCCCTATTGGCGTGCGGGCTCCTATGCGGATGCCTTGATATTCCCTGAATATCAGTTATTGTAATTTATTTGGTTGTGGCTGGCAGAGGAATCCAAGACGCGCGTTTCGTCCTATTTTGGACTCGTCAGCTGGATGTGCCTACATCTAATTGAGTGTTGTTCCCACCGAGGCACGGACCTCGTACCATCACTTCAAACGCCAAGACGCTTCTATTATACCACAGAAGAACGATAGCCACTTCTGGCATAACGGGTAGTAAAGTAGTTATTACTATTTACTGGTGTACTACATTACTAGCTGTTATGCAAGAAAAGGTTATCGTTCCTCCGTGGCATAATGGACAACGTCTTGGCGTTTGAAGTGATGGATACCAGGTTTGAGTGCCGGTGGGAACGACATCACTCACTGGGGTTCAGGTACATCCAGCCGACGAGTCCTAAATAAGACGAAACGCGCATCCTGGGTTCCTCAGCTAGCCGCAACCAAATAAAATCCATCATTATTGTTTGTTGAAGCTTGTAATTTCAAGTTGTTATACTGGATCGAATTGATCGACCTTGGTCATATATGGGCTCCTATGCGAATGGTTTGATATTGCCTGAATATTCAATGGCATGATTCTCTTGGCGGTGGCTAGTAGTTGAATCTAGGATCTGTGGGGTTCGAGTTTTAGTAGGAACACCACTCACCGAGATCTAATCACATCAAGCTGACAAATTCCAAACAGGATGAAAAGCGTGTCATGGATTCCACGACTAGTCACCATCAAGTAAGTTATAACAGTGAACATCAGTCATGTTGTCTGTATAGAGTAAAGAAACAAGTAACAGACGGTGAGTTAGAAAAAGGTAGAAGTTATTTTTACTCAAACGATGGGAAGATCTCGTCAAAAAACAAAAGCCGCTGAACATTTCTTAAGAATGATGCATTAAATAACTTTACCACAAAATATTGCGAAACAAATTAAGATATAATTGAAGGAGTGTGTATAGTTTCTCTGATGGCAAAGAAAAGCAGCATGAAATATAGTCTGTGCATAACTAAGACGTCAACAAGAAAGATATAGTGTACATTGAACATCATGTTTATGGAGTTTGTGTTCGTTTATTTCGATTTATTTGACGCTATTCATTATATTAAATTCACTTAGCACACATATTTCATACTGCGACACCTTAGTTTACGACCTAATTATTACAATTAACTTCTAAAAAATCTAGACTAATCATTCTGTGAAAATCATGGCAAAGATGTAAAGTAACCCAACTCAGTTATATTTCAAATGCCTTGTGAATCGAAAACATGAACGTGATTTTTCTGACTAATAGTATTGTTACAAACCCTACTGTTCAGAAATGGAAGCTGATCTGAAGCAGAATATAGTGAGGTGGTTAAACTGACAACTACAAATAGATCAAGTCTGAAATGCACAAAACAATAAGTATCAAAGGATAAAATCCCCTAACCAATCTAATGACTTTTGTAAAAAAAACACTAAAACTTACACTTAAAATATTGTAGAAGACAAAATAAGATTGAGTAATTGATTACATAATAAATAGTCACTCAAGAGTGAAAACGAAGACCACTCATCTCTCAATAACAATGGACGTCATATTACAAGTCCTCTTTAAAAATAAGCCAGTTTCCTTTGATGGAATAAAGATAGGATGAAAATCTGAGACTATGATATCAATCTATCAGGTTCACAGATTTCCTTAATTTCATATTCTGTCAAAAAATAGCTAAACAAGAGTCAATCACCGATTGTTAACTGATATATCCATGAAGTCCTAAGTATTCAGTAATGATCTGAATCAACTGATCACCGAACTTAGTGATGAGATTCCACAGTGAACTGTATTTTGGTATTGCGCTTTGAGAGCCACTTGATAGCAAACAATGGATCTAAGTTCAGTACTTGTTTACACGCATCAGCAAGACGTATTTTCAGTTTTCATGAAATTCGTTTCAAATTTAGGGATTTAGTGATTCTTCAAATTGGTATTCATGATGAATTGACATCAGTTGGAGGAAAATCGGGAACCTGCAAGTACTGGACAGCCGTTTCGTCCGAGTATGAGACTCTTCAGCAGTACGCACCCACAACCCGGCCAGGAATCGAAGTCAGGACTTTCAGGTTGTGTCCAGCACATTACCATGGAGCCATTGAGCCAGAATTCAATGGTCCATATTTCCGACTTCTAAATTATTGATCCAGTTACTTGATCAACCGAATATAAGACACAACTGTTACCGTTTTGATAGTCTATTATTTATTTCATCCTTTCTAAAATTCATTTATTCAAAGAAAAACTTGAAAATCATACACAGAAATTACATGTATGTACATAGATATATGTTTGCCGTTATGTTTAATTGCCACATAATCATCCTATACAATTTCAGTAATATTTAGTATGCGTATAATAAGGAAAAGTGAAAACAGTAGAAAAAATAATAGTAAAACAAATAATTCTAATAGTCTCTAGTGTAAATGAATAGAGGATAAATATACATGGAGGAGCGGGAGGAGACATAGAGGAGGTCGTGCGAGGAGGAAATGAGAGCTTCTGGGCTGTCGTGGAACCAGGTTCAAAAGATCTCAGAGAACAGAGGTCACTGAAGACGTGCTACTGAAGTCCTATGTTCCACTAGGAACCCAAGGGACTAATAATAATAATAATAATAATAATAATAATAATAATAATAAAATACAAATAGGAAAGAACACATTTAATCAAGATAAAAGGGTATATGAATTTAGGGAGTAGAAGTGTGAAACATTTGCTGCTCCCTAGTTTTCTGCGTAAAAATTAAATGATGAACAGTGAATAAAATTATCAAATAAGGGAAATTAATAATTAAAGTTAAATGCATAAAGGCATATAGTAAAAGCAGTAGAAAATATACATCTATATACACAGCTGGATATTTTCGCTAATAAAAAAATTTATACACAAAATCAAATATTTATTGTACAGTAACCTATTGTGAATCACCACAATTCAGCACCATTTGACCAGTCTTCATCGTCATCGTCAACTCCATGGCTATAATTAGGTAAATATGAATCATACGGATCATTTTTATTATTCTCTTCATCTTCTACTGCCTCATCATCATAATCATCATTAACACCAGGATCGTTGTCATCTTTTCTACCATTAGCTTTATTTAAGTGCTCATTTTGAATTCTATCTTTATCAGTGGGCATAGATACTGCACTGATGGAATTGGTCAGTGAATTCTGATTTTTATTGACTGAAATGGGTTTAGCTGACTTGTACAACTCTTTAGAATTGTCATTGTCACACAAGGTGGATGCAAGCAATGGACCAGGTCTTGGTTCAGTGATGTGGTCCACATCCGTTGGTATTACATCATCGTTTTTATTATTATCATTATTACTCGACTGGGCTGATGAAGATGGTGTAGGTAGGCCAACAATTGCTTCAAGTGCCTCATAATTAATTTTACGTGATAGTGGTTTAGTTTCTTCTTCTTTCGAAATCATATTGCGATTCATTCTTGTTGTTGAGGTTGAGTAATTGTTATTACGTCGGCTGGCACTTTTACGCTTTTTTAAAATAAAGTAAATAAATAAACCGAAAAATTAACATAAAACAGATAAAAGTGGATTCTACTACGCGTATGAGGCTCAAGCATTAAAAGTAACCCTTAAGAAATGTAATTTGTTGGTTGCTAGGAATCTGAATACCGGTGGAATTCAACTAACGGTTACATTTCCACTGCAGTGATGCACCCACTGAGTTATGAGACTCTGAAAATTCTAGTTGGTAAAATGTTAATCTAGCCTAAATTTTATAATTCTGTATTATGATCAATACGGTTATATTGTAAGCATTTTATCTTAGTGAGTAACACCATACAATTTATTGAAATCGAAGACTGGCATACAGATGAAACTTCAAGGCTAGCAGAAATATGAATAAATATAAATGGTTAGACTAAACAAGAAAATTGACAAGTTCAGAGGAGTTGCCCATATTAAAAATTTCGAAACTATAGACGACCATGAATTCAATCTGTCCTAATCAATCCAGTCCTAAGAGGTAAACAGCACTCAGACAATGTTATCCGCACAGTAAAAGTGTACTGTAAGTCATTTGTATGAGACGAAAGATAAATTAAGTCTGTTCGTCGGCAAAAGTAGAATAATACCAAGATTTTTACAGGCTACTAAATTCCTTCTAAATGTTTTCTGTAAATCTAATTCTTGCATATATTGTTAATTATACATTAAACGACACTCGGTTACAAAGCTGAACAATTCAGTTCAGCACATGGTATCAAGTCACACAAAACAGATTTTTTGCAAGATATGCTGTATGTTAATTTGGGTTTTAAGAAGGAGACATAACCTTTAAGAGGAGGTTAGTGATAAAGATAATTGATTACTAGCATAGTGATAAGAAGTAGCTATGCAAACCGCTACTCCTAGAATTGAAACCAATACCCAGTGGACCATAAAAGATTCGTTTTCAAATAGTTGTTTAAGGTGAACAAAACTCTCTATGTAAACGTTCATCGGCAGGTAAATTGAAACGCCAATATACTTTCTGACTAAAAACTATGATCTTCTTAGGTATGACTATGAAAATATAAAGTTTATGGTTGTTCGCATAATCCCGTCTAAGTGTTTGATAACTTCAAAAACACTCAGTTTTATATTCTGTAACATTAAAGTTATTTTGATTGCAGTAGTATTTAGATTTCCAATAAGAAAAAAAATCAAATATGATAGCTGAAAAATGAAATTTTTCAACTAGCTTTCATAGCTTAAATCAACTCTGACACGGCAGGTATATTTACCATACAATTTAATTTCCAAATGAAAAAAAATCTCAGTGTCTTGTTTCGTTAATGAAAAGTAAGCATTGCTGAAAACTTTCATAATTATCGACTAATTTATACATGCGATAAAAAATAAAAGTTATACGACTTTTATAACAAGGCAAGATAATTTTCTAGACGATGAACATTTTGTTAGGATACTGAATTTTACTCAGAAAATAACAATGGATATTACGATTACGCTTTTTATTCTGACAATAGAAATCATCCACGTGAAAACATTATGAAGAAACTTAGTGAGAATGAGAGACAATGACACATAAGTAAAGCTAGTTGATACACTTAAAAAACAAGAAACACAAAACTAATGTACAAAACAGAAATGATGCGTAAGCAAACAAACCTTTTTAGGACCTTTAATATCTTCCTGTTCCTGCTGCTTTTGTTGTTGGGCTAATTTTCGTTCTATAGGGGAAAAAGGAATCAATCAAATGATTAGTAAAGCAGTATTGTAAAAAAGTTGATGAAGAATTTCAAGCATCAAAACATAAAGTACTGTGAATGTATCTTTATTTTAGTTTACAAGAAAGTTTTAAGTCAGGTCACATTTTGAAAAGAGTTAATTATGAATGAAATTTGCCACCATGTGTCTACAAAATCTTTAAAGATATTTTGCTGAAGACGACGATATGCTCAGTTTAGGTAAATGATAACTGAAGTACCAATGTTATATTTTCATATCTAACATGTTTTTCTCTTAAAAGTAGCTTAGAGTTATTAAGTAATGATTACATTTTTTGGGTATACACAAGAACAGACACGTTTCAGTTTCCTTGATTTGTAACAAATAATGCAATAAACTTATGACGGAAATTTTGATGTCCAAATTTAGTTAGTTTCTTTTACGTTGACTGAGTCGAATACTTATGCTGACATTATTGTGTGCGAGCAGACTATAGTACACAGCTGTTAAGACCTCAATAGGTGGAGTCCGGTTTGAACCCGTGACGAACTCATTGAATTTCAAGTGGTTAGATCGGTGAGACACAACTTCACAGTCACAATTTAACAGATAGAATCCTAACAAAAGTATATAAACATGAAAGTTGGACTAGGTCATTGAGTAATCCACAAGAAAAGTCACCTATTTCTCATATTAAACTCTGGAAGAACGCAGTGGAAGCAAATGAAGATACGTGCAGATATGATATACATGACTAAAATAACGGGATACATCTGCAAATAACCATTACTGCTGTTCGAAAACAATAAATGGAATTATAAATAGCCAAAAGATTGCAATAAGTCATACAAATAAGGAAACTGAAGAAGAATATAGCACAACAGGAATGTATCCGTTGAGATTGCACCACATCGCACCAGCCCACAAAGAGGAACAGGATAAAAGATGAGAATAAACTGGAAAAGTGTATATGGGCAGAAGAGATCAGTAAATAAAAGTAAAATGTTAGAAATTTCGAAAATGGTGTAGAATATAAGTATCTGCACCACAGTGACCGATTCTGAGTCATATCACTAACAATGTTGAAGCGTTGTGGTTCCTACCTATCATCTTGAGAACCTCAAATAGGCATTTTGAATACTATTCAGTACATATTTCAGACCAAAAGTTAGAGACTTCTCGGAGTGATGCTACGAATTCATTTGATCACCGTTAGCTCTCTTCCAAGTTAACCCTATTTCGGTCAACGTAGAGTACCGAGGTAGGCGGTAACTCTACAACTGTCCATGTCACTTCAGTCATTACAGGTTCACAAACTCAACAATCTACTTTTTTTCTTTGCCTTACCTTAACATTGCTCACTTAGTGTTCCCTCTTCCTACGAATAATGCTACGAGGACAACTATGATCAAAAACGCGCAGCCCATTCATATATCCTCACAACAACAACAACCATATCCCGTAGCAGTACGTTAGCACAAAGAGAACCGCTGCGCAGCATACTCATTCTTCAATAGGTAGTCGGATATCTCATTGACACTTTAAGTAGCGTTAGTTGTCACATGGTGGAGCTGTGGCTTATGGGTTGGAAAGATTAATTTCAACCAATGGGTTACAGGTTAGAAAACAACTCTACCTACCGAGGTCTACGCAGGTAGGTAGTATCACTAGCCCTACTACTATAAGTGTGGTCTACTGCCTACTGCACGGAGGTGTGCAAGGTTGCTGAGTTCATTTCAACTCATTCGACTTCAGTTGTCACATGCCAAACCAGGCTTTTCATTCCTGGTTGAGATTTAGTCAGCAGTAAGTCCATCAGGGCTGAAGTAAATCCTAGAGTAAGTCAAGTAGTCAATGCATTATACTACTTCATTCCCTTTCCTCTAACTAGAATGAAAAAGAGATCTACTAACTTTTACTAACTTTTGGTTGTAAATTACTAAATGTCTCTATCGATCGATCGATCGAGATCAACCTAGGACCAGGTATTAAAGCGTAACGGTCCCACTTGCCACACTTCATATCAGTACATCAAGTAAAAGGGCAGTGAGGCGCAAGATGAAGATGGAGATGAAGAGAATGCAGTCAGAAGAAATATAAAGTACAAAAAGTGAGAAACGAAGAATGAGAAAATGGTGAGATTCGGTATAGCGTCGTTAAGACGAAGATAATGTGTGTATAAATCTGCGCCACTGACATCGGTTCTCAGCCATATCACCTACAGTCTCCAGCCACTGGTTCCTCTTGTCCCGTGGACCCCAAACACTTAGTCTGCATCGCCTCACATGGCTCAAACCAACAGTCAAAGACTTCATACATCTATGCCATGTTTTAGTCTAGCCACCTCGGGCCTTTTTCCAGCCTGGACCTACTTCAGCCAACATTGTGTGAACAGGCAATCAGCGACTAGGCACACGTAACACATGTCCCAACCATCTCAGTCGATGAAGGTTCACAACCTCGTCAACCGACTTACCTCTTCTTCCTAAAACTCTACTCCTGACTTCTGCATTACTCATATGGTGACACCACGGAATACGGTCTATACAACGAAGGCAACGGTGGTCAAACACTCGAAGCCTTCTCATATCTTCCACCTTCAATCGCCATGTTTCACAGCCATACAGTAGAACAGACCGGACTGCTGCGCAGTATACGAGACCCTTAGTAGACAATCGGATATCACGGCGGCAGCACAGGTGGCGTAAGTTGGCGAAAGCCAATCGAGTCTTTTGTATCCATGCAGAGATTTCAAAGACTACTGAGGCATCAGGGCTGATCCAACCTCCCAGGTAAGTGAAGTGGTCAACACACTCAACCACTTCACTCTCTATTGTTAGCCGCGGTGGGGCACCGTTGGAGACCTAAACTGGAGCAGCGATTTGCATTTGGGTGGTGAGAAACGCATCCCAAACATTCTCAAATTCCCACTCAAAGTGTTCAGAAGACTCTGCATCCTGTCAGCATCTTCACTTAACAGGACTATGTCATCTGCATATTCTAGGTCTAACGAAAATTCTCCACCGATTAGGTCAACGTCTGTGTTATCAGGCGACGACAGGGAGACCTCCATAAGAATATCTATGATAAAATTGAATAAGAATGGAGAAAGTGGGCACCCTTGACGGACACCACCCGATGAGTACAGCTCACCTGACATCTCACCATAGGCTCTAACATGCCCACAAGTGTTCCAGTAGAGAGCCCTCAATAAATTGTACTTACTAGGCACGCCTTTCACTGAGAAACATTGCCACAAGACTTCTCGATCAACGGAGTCGAATGCCGCCTTCAGGTTGGGAAATACAGCCAGTGTGGGGCGTCGGTAGTCGTGTCTGTGTTCCAGTGCAGTGTGAATATTTGGTCGATACATCCACGGCCAGGTCTAAAGCCTGCATGGTTTTCTCGGGCTTGCTGTTCCCGAGCTCCACACAGGTGTCGGAGAATTATAGAACCTAGAATCTTAGACACTATGTTCGTCAGGCTGATTCCTCTGTGGTTATCACAAGAGGACTTCTCGCCTTTCTCGAAGACTGGGATAATCAGTGAATTAGACCAGTCAGAGGGGATCGTATTTGACTCTCACATACTAGCTATCACTTCCGTTAACCTGACTAAGAGCACCTTACCACCATTCTTGTATACCTCAGCAGGTAGTCCATCTCGTCTTGCTGCCTTTCCTCGTTTAAGGTTACCTACCGCTTTCTCAACTTCTTTTAGTGTTGGGGGGCCTATCTCTATGTCCCATTCAGGATCCGACTGGATAGCGGGCAACGTAATGGTGGCTGGAGGCCAGTTAAACTGTTTCTATCATTATTTCGATATAGGGGTGAATGATACGCCAAGCTTAATTGGTATGAGAATTGTGGCAATTTTCAGATTGATAACTAAGAAACTCCTCCCTGAGTACAGTGTTGGAGTGTTTCGATTTTCTAGCCAAGTGGAGGAGCTTTTTTGTTACTTGTTCCTTTTCTTCATTAAGTTACAAACATACATGTGCGCATACTAACATATGATCGGAATCCTAGTAGGCACTCTGAAAACAGCAGGAACATGTGCTTGTCAGGACGAAATTATACAAGACGAATACCACGGTCGACTTATCGACAGGGAATTCACCAGATATCTCCAAGATACATTTTCGATTGGCTCACCCTTCCTAACTTGAGAGTTAATATCATCCTCTAATATAACTATATCTGAAAGTCTTGCAGTATGTAACAACACTAAAAACTTTTGGTAAAACTAATTCGCTCCATCGTCGGAACTGTAGCCAGTGGGTGTGTAACATTCCTCATATTATTCATAATATTACTTATGAGTAACTGATGTTTTGTGTACAGTTTCCTACTTTCCTTCGGTTGGTTGTCTGTTGTTATATAGATATTTGCTGTCGTCTGATTGGTCAAAGCTATAAGTGGACATTCAGCCATATTGGACTTATCATTTTGACCGTATGCCAACCGTAGCTTGCACGTTGTATGCTGTTGAATCACTCTGAATGCAAGTGTCTTCTGACTTTCCACAACCCTCAGGTGTTTACTACGGTGAACCTTACAGGGCGTATAGGGTAGAGACCATAAATAGGAAGTGGAGTGTCACGGTCCTTCCTAAGCCTTACGAGTCTATTCAGTCAAACAGTACAAAAATAGTTATTGACTGATATGCTCTAGAAACGAGTCCTATCCCCAGATCAGGCAGTTTAAGAGAACTACTCAAAGAACTAAATCCATCGACGGTTGAAATGTGAACTTCGCAGATGGTAGGGTAGGGTGAGATAAAGTGAATAAGTACATTTGAGTAATATATGCATGTCTCACAAACATAGTAAATTCTAATGGCCTGAGTTTCCAGAGTTTTGGCGAATGGGACATGTTGCCCGGTTTAATATAGAAAACACAAGTTTAAAGACAATATAAAATTATCAGCGTTATTTTAGGAAACAAGGAAAAGTATTTTGCTGGCTTGTTCCATTAGCAATCTTTTCAAGTTAAGAAAAATCGAAACTGTAGGGAGACATGTGAGAAAAAACAGGAAGGAAGTCACAGAAGGTGGCAAAAGCAAGGTGGGTCGGTTTTAGTTCGACGGACCTTATTTGGCATTAATAGTGCCCGGGTAGTCGATACATTATAGTTGTACATACCGTGAAAATTGGTCGCTGTAGGCCTGAAAGAGAAATTGGGGCGCTTTTGCGTGACAAGCGAGGTCAAGAGACGTCTTCTTAAGGTCGGTTATACGACTTTTTATATGGATGCAGTTGTATTACTTCTGTATTTAAAGAGAAATAATTATCTCTGGAGCACGAAGTTCCTATGGCAGGGAGGGTTGTGTTATTTTTGTGACTAACTTTTTAAACTCCTTGATTCAACGAAGGAAGGCTAGCACAAGCGTGGAGTGATGGTTGTCCTCAGGATATACCTTAATAATATTACGCGATTTACAACAAACCCATCGCCTAACAAATATGCAGAAGAAAGTGGAGATGGATTGGATTGGGCATACACTGAGAGGACCATTCGAGTACATTACGCACCAGGCACTCGAGTAGAATACAAAGGGGGAACGACGGGTTGGATGTCCAAGGGTAACATGGAGAAGATCGTGTGAGGAAGGAACGAAAACTTCTGGGCAGCCGTGGAGCCAGCTTCCAAAGACTGCAGAGTAGAGTGAAATGGCGACGTGCTACGAAAACTCTATGTTCCCCTAGGAACCCAAGGGACAAATAATAATAATATACAACTAACATGAAACTTCGACTTTGGACTGGCCATCGTAGTGAGTTACTTAAACTAAAATAGTAGCTGCCTTTACACTCAACGCTATTTAACGTACCTTTATGGTATAGTAGAAAAAACGCTACTAGTCTCTAAGGTGAAAACTCGGTGAATGTCGATTATACTGTGCAAATGAGGAGTGAAGAGGTAAATCACGTGGTATAATGTTTAAGCGAATACTTCGTACAGATTAAAAGTTTTACCAATTTTTGCCAGTTTACAAAAATAATTGAATTTAACTGAAATAATCTTTTCGACTTACTGCGTGACTGTTCTAAGTGTTCTGCATTCGCTTTGAACCAAATAGCTGCTTTCAGCATAATTTCTCTAGGCTGAAGTAAATATTCCTACAATAAAAAAATAATAAATAATGAAAGTATATTAGGCTGTGTTATTCTTCTAATGTTATATTACAAATGATTTACAACAGATTAGATGTAAAGTTACAGGGCACATGCAAGAAATATGTATTTCTTTCCGACGCTTTCATGCTTGAAGCAACATAGTCGCAAACGTAGCTGTGGCTCATTGATTCATACCCTCGGCTTTCAACGTCTAGGTCACAGAAAATCGAAATGCACTGAAAAACCTAGTGTGTATGTACGTGCAGTAGGCAGTATGGCTACTGCTACTGCATGCCTATCCAAACCTTAGTAAGTGGAGTGGACTTCGAACTAGGAGCCAACTGGTCGGAAGACGAATGTCCAGACTTATGGGCGACAGCTCTACGAGTTCAAATCAAACTCCACTTACCGAGTTCTGTGTAATCAGATAGTATAAGTAGCCCATACACAATAGGCGTGGCTCATTGTCTACTGCACATGTGCATAATTGCCGAATATTTCAATTTCCATATTTTTAAAATTGCAATTATTCGCACTATGTGCATGTGTTTGAGCATCCATAGTACATTTGATAACAAAAGTTATCTTTTGAAGGAAAGAAGAACAAAACGAAATATCAGTGCCTAAACTATCACTGACATCATATAAAAGTCAAAATGGTTGTTAGGTAATAAGAAAATATGCATTAAGATTTTGCACTTGTTATTATATGCACTATCATAACCTTATTCCATTTGCAACATTATTTATTTGCCTGAGAACTGCAGGTGCCTACTGGCATCGAACCTAATATTCAGAAGTATGGTTTGAAGGGATTAAAATTGAGTGGAGTAGACGGACTGGTTTTTAATCACGATAATCAACGGATATGAAACATTTCAACACCAATAATTGTACGGTGTACTTTCTAAGAATCAGCTTTCTACTTTATTCAATTCTTGTTAGTCAAATAGACACTACAATCAGAAAAAACAAGTTAGAAGTAATGAACAACTTATATTCACATCCATTTCGAAAATGGTCTCATAACTAACCAACACTAAGGTAGCGAATAGGGTTATAGCCTGATTAAAGAGTAAACCATACATGTATGATATGAATGATTTTAAACCAACCAACTGGATTAAATGGTTCCAAATTGCTTTTGTAACTGTGAGTCAAAACGTGATCAGGAATAAATTCAACCCTTAAATAACTAAACAAAATTCTTGTTGAAGCGTTTACTCATTCAAAGAAAAATAAAAATATTTCAGACATAAGTCTTAATCATAGGAAAAAGTGCGTAAAATTTTAGACATATTGAGAAATATTTCAAGTTGTTATTCATCGTAGACTGACATGAGTTGGAGGAACAAAGGAAACCTGGGAGCACTGGACAGCTGTTTCGTCCTATTATGGGACTCCTCAGCAGTGCGCACCCACGACCCCACACCAGCAGGGATCGAACCCACGACCTTCAGGTTCCGCGGCCAGCGCGTTACCATTGAGCCACTAGCTTCGAGAGGTATTCCTGAAGTTCCAATAAGAAGTTGTGACCGGTGGAGTCAAGCCTGATGGTCGTGAGGACAGATACTCAACGATGACATTGGGTGGCGGTTGCGCTATGTCGTGAGCTAACAGAAGTTGGAAATATGGACCATTGGATTCTGACCCAGTGGCCCAATGATAACGCGCTGGCCGCGGAACCTGAAGGTCGTGGGTTCGATCCCTGCTGGTGTGGGGTCGTGGGTGCGCACTGCTGAGGAGTCCCATAATAGGACGAAACAGCTGTCCAGTGCTCCCAGGTTTCCTTTGTTCCTCCAACTCATGTCAGTCTACGATGAATAACAACTTGAAATATTTCCAAATCTCCACAACTCCCTCAAAATCTAATATTAAGAAATGTAATAATGGATGGAGGTATAGAATGCTTAAGGCAAACCATAGACAGTATTTTTCGTTAAAACACTATCAAGACTTATTTTGAATGAATACGCAGGAATATATTACTATGTCATGTTCAATGGAAAATTTATAATTATAATAAACAGTATTAATGTATGATTTCTATGGAACTGTATGCTGTAATATACTGAAATAGATGCATGACTGTCTGACAAAATGTAATGTAAGGCTAAGATTCCTTATCGATCATAAGGGCATAAAAACATCCTAAGGGAAGTACTACTTGACTTTTCGAACAAGTGATCGGTTAACGGAAATGGTCCCAATATATCACATCCTTTATAAACAGGAGAAAGTATGTAATACTTACTCGATCTAATTCTTCATCATCAATGTCTTCGGTATGCAATGTATCATCTGTGTCAACTGAAAGGTAATATAAAAGTAAGAGGATATACAGTCAAAACTTCATAGTTTTCACTAACTAACAATAAAACTAAAAATATATTTTTGATTTTAATCTGCATGGATTCATTATGTAAACAAGGACGTTAATGAGATTTTCTAGAATACACTTCAAAAACGCACAGTCAATGTGTGTCTTTGTCAAATGACCAAAAAAAATGAATTTAAGAAAATTTAATTCAGATAATTGATAAGATTAGCAGTAGAATCCAGGATGCGTATTTCATCCTATTTGAGACTCGTCAACTGGATGTGTATTTACAAGTTTAGCTGCTTCTGTGGAGAAAGTGATATAGGGCGTACTACTAGACAACTTAACAAACGTGTTTCTGAGCATCTATCTTCATGGTTGGGAAAGGAACAGATAAAATCCATCAAAAGCTCGGTTTTATCTCACCTCATTGATAGTGGTCACTCGGTAGATAAGAACAAGAACACCAACATCTTATATCTGGTGAGTGTATAGGTCGGATATCTCCGAGATAAAGACAAACATATATACACAAACACTAGCCAAAATCCATAATTGAAAGACTGTATTCTACTCTGCTTCAAAAGGCAATCCTTTATACAACAAAACCGAGAAACATTGAAGAATATTATTCTGTTTAGAATTCGCTGTTATGATTTTGGCAACAGTATGAAGACTTATATAGAGTTGCCAAAAGAGAGCTCACCACAAAAATATTATTCACCTCCTCCAATCTAATAGAATTTATCAGACTATCATTTTTGACGGTAACTCCGTTTTGGCCTTCGCAAGTATAGTTTACTTACACTTGGTTGGCATTTTTAATCGAAAGTATGAAAAAAAAAAAGAGTTCAGTGAAGCAGATGTCATTTATTGAGAAAATACAACCGATAATGGAAAAAAAAAAATACTAAACTTAACAATAAGTTATCCACTTGCAAATAATCTCTTGTTTGCATATTACCCTGCTTTATATCACATTGTTGATTCTTTTTACCTGATTGCCCACTAGTCGATCGTTATGACTGCACGCACTGCTACTACTACTACTACCTATAAGCATTCTTATAAGCAGCTCCCGTTACATAGTTTGATTAGGCGATGTTAATAAAATGCAGTTGCTTAATACTTCAAAAAGACACCTGAGGATGTTTTGCAAACACATTACATCTATATTTACAACTTCATTTATTCGAGTACTTGGTTTAGCTTTTTCTGGTTCATTTTCAACCAAATACCTGAAGAGATATAAAGTAATACGATGGGACCCATTGACTCATGCTGTCATCGGAAATTTCACTCATAAGCATTAGAACAACATGTTTCAGGCTAGAATCGTGCTTCGCCTACTTCATAAGCTGGAGAAACCGGTAGTAATATGAACTGCCACACATTAGGTGTGTATGCGGTTCAAGATGTACTTTTACAAAACACTTTTAAATAATCAAGTATAATGAGTGTATAGTATTGTTGGAAATTAATCCATTTTCTCCTACACGTGCATCGGGAAGACATCAACCTTCAGTGTCGGTAGTGTGGAAGATTCAATTACCACTAGATTTCCAACAAAACTGAAGATGTACTTAATTAGCAGCAACTAATCCTATCTGCCTGTTTATTGTCTAAATTTTCTCTGTCATCAATTTTAACCATTTTGTGGTATCCTTGAACATTTCTTCCACTGCATTTGCTGCAGACGCCTCGAGTTAATAATAAGACATTTACTAGAATTTCGAAACTACGCAATTGCCAGTTATAGAATCCAATGTAACAAACTTTGATTAAATTCAACCAGATGTGGTTGCAGCGAAGAAAAATTTTTCTTTTCGACGAAGTCATCTACTAAGCTGCACGTTCGTGAATATATGTTACAGTGGGCAGAATGTTCCAGAATTATTTCCGGTTAGGCGACAAAATATGTTGAATAATTAAAGGAAGTTAATTAATACATATTTCGGTTTAAAGTGGGAAAACAGATAAAGGATAATGAAATTTAATGTAATTATGCAATACAGGATGAACGTATGACAGAGTAGGAAAATAAACAGGGGATTATGGAAATACATGTATGGTTACCTAATACAGTCAGCTAGCTGACTGCTTCATGGTAAACCTGGAAAATACCAACTTGTTATCAACAATCAATGAACTTCACATTTACAAAAGCTACATAGATAATATGTTTATGGTTTGTGGTGAAAATATGGATCTTGAAAACCTGCTTCGTACCTTCAGCAACGCCTTCCCTTCAACCAAATGCTCTCTAGAATCAGAGTCAAACTCAATGTACCATTTTCTTGATGCTCAACTTCAAAGAAAAGACGATAATTCACTTCGTAGATAGATCTACAGAAAACCTATGTGGAACGGACGATTTGTTGATTTTCAAAGGTGAGTCCCTCTAAGCAGGAAAAGAAATTTTATCTCTTAACTTTCCTCGAGGATCAGGAAAATGTGTACTGAGGACACTGTTGATGGAGAGCTGCAAATACTTCGACAAACTACCGGAAAACGGTTTCCTGCTTAGATTCATAGATGAAAATATAAAGCCAAAGAACCCAACTGAACGAATGCATTTGGCTCCGATAAAGATTTTTTTCGTCGAATCTTGAATTCAAAAATGATATTGCTACGGACATCCTCAGGAAACGAATGTCAAACTCCTTAAACAGAACATACTTCGCCGTCAACCTTCGGATTATTTTCTCCTGCAAGAAACTTTTTGGTCAATGTATGAAAGACAAGCTGATGCATTGGACCACATCAATGTATGTATACCAGTTTACTCGCTCTTGTGGAGCTGAGTACATTGGTCGTACCATGCGTTCGCTTGTAAAACGTGTCCGCGAACACTACCCAGTCTGGCTGGCTGGCTGGCAAAGGAAGAACGAAAATGTTTATTCAGTTCAATAACAGAAAACCTCATGAACTCAGGCCACTTAGCTCCTTTTGAGAGCTCATTCAAAACTCTCTACAGGGTTCGATCAAACCACTCGAATGGAGTAAGATCAGGGCATCTGTTTATAGCTGAAGCACTAGCCATCCAGAAGTTCAAACGAGCGTTATGCGTCCAGAAAAGGTACGTCCAACCTTTATCTTTGCCATGACCATCGTAGAGCCTTGATTATTATAGATTCATCCTGTATTAGGTAACTATACATATATTCCCATAATCCCCTGTTTATTTTCCTACTCTGTCATTGGTTTACCCAGTATTGCGTAATTGAAATTTTATTTTCATAACCCTTCATTCATTTTCCTACTTTACCATCCGTCCATTCTGTATTGCATAATTACATTAAATTTCATTATCCTTTATCTGTTTTCCCACTTTAAACCGAAATATGTATTAATTAACTTCCTTTAATTATTCAACATATTTTGTCGCCTAACCGGAAATAATTCTGGAACATTCTGCCCACTGTAACATATATTCACGAACATACAGCTTAATAGTCGAAAAGAAAAATTTTCCTTCGCTGTAACCACGTCTTGTCTTTTCCTATGATCAAATGGGTGTGCTCCGCTGGTCAAATTCAACCAAAAAAGTGTTATCCTAATTCTAAGAATGCATAGTGAGATTTCAAAAGATACACTTTAGTGCGAAGTTTTTCACCATTTTGTGCAAGTGTCCGGTTTTTAGCGACAGCTTGATTAAGCAAGGTAACTAACTATAACCTGATTAACCTTATTAGAAGTGTAGTCACAGAGGCATTCTCAATAGTTTTTAAATTTTCGGAAATCAGCCTATTAAACAAAAACCATGTAGTCAGCTTAGCATCTTCAGACACTACAGCCATGTTAACAAAGGTGTTAGTAAGACTCAAGAGTTTCTCAACACCTTGAGGAAACGTCCGAGCATGTTTAGGCTGCTTTTCGAAGTTGCTAGATGGTAAGTGATGCAGCAGAATTGTTGTTCATAGGCAACTTATTTAAGAACAGAGAGAAAGCCGAATGAGTTGACCATTTTATTTACTCAGGATGCCTTAGAAACCCTAGTGGTTTGGTTGCTGGCAAAATCTAGGTGTGGATAAAGAAGGCTCTTTCAGCATTTACTAACCTGTTTTATCTGTGACTATAGATCGACATTCAATCGCTTATCAGAGGGTTAATTCACTTTAAAACAGTTCGCTCTGTTACTGTATGGTGACGAGATACGGTTGTTAAGGATGTCCGACATCGGGAGGTCACCATTTTCGATTCATGTTTACTTGGGTATTGTGGAAACACAGAGAGAATCTATTTCAAGTGACCGGTTTCATTTTTTTGATAACTTTTATTATTTTCAGTTATTTTATTTGTGTTTTCATAATGTATCAAAGGTGATGCATTTATTGATATCCACTTTGCAGGAATTCTTTACTTAAAATAATCAGTAACAATAAATGTAGGAAACATAAAAGTCATTCAGAACTTCTTTTGTTGCTACAGTATACATTATAACTAAACCCGGTGCATTTTTATGCACTAGACTAGGCGCCACCCTGTTTTGAACAGGCTTGCGAATTTCAACGGTTGCTCAGGCAGAAGTGGGACTCGAGTCCTGGGACTTTGACTTGAAAGTTAAGCTCTTAAGCCAATAAGACAAATTAGTGCTACCTGACTGACTGACAAAATCAACCTCGCACAAAGGTGCAAAGTTGCCACACTTCACAGTGGTGTACAAAGAACAGGTGGATAGAAGTGAGAGTGATACCAGCTAGAAAAGTACGTTAATCAGGTTTTGTAGACAGTACGAAACGCACTCAGCTACCTTGAGCACATCCATGAAGTAGGCAAAGAGCTTCTGTGTGAGGGCTAGTGATACTACTACCTGGCTGCCGAAACCTCGGTAGGTAGAGCAGGGCTCGAACCCGTGACCCAATGGTAGACTGTGTTAACTGCTGTTCGAATACATATATATGTGTAGCTCCTTCAATAAGAAAAAAAAATTACCAGGTACCATAAACATACTTTTAGCTTCTACCTTTGTAACAACAGTTGACGGAATAAAAACTGGTAGCTTCAGGGACTTTGCATCTGAAAAGAAAAAAAAAGACTATATTTTCCACAGATATATTTCATCTCGAGAGTTAATGTAAGGAAAAGTAAGGAAGCTAAAAAAAGAGTAAGTAATATATTCTCACTGCAACTTCCATGAGAACTTTACGAGGTTTCTCACATAAATAGGGTTATTATGTGCAATTTTACATACGATAAATATGTCAATTAATAGGCACTAGGACGTTTATCCGATTGTTAGAATAACTATTCACTTTCAAATTACCCTTTTGGAAAAGCGTTGAGTTAGCTAAGTGTTAATTAGTAGATCTATTGAACCAAGGTATCACGCATACGAAAGTGTTCGCCCTAGGTAATATTCTTGATAATATTATTATGACATTGAATATTGTTGTATTACATAGCTCAACGCGGTGAAGGTGTTTGTTTACTATCGATGTGTAAGGGTTTACGATAATTTTGTGTGCTGATTTCAGATGCTACACACTACAGAGTCTTCAGTGATGGTCACAAGGATATATGATCGACTGGTGAACGTTCTAGATAGAGAAACAAGGTGTAATGGAAGCAGTTAGAGTGAAATGCAGTTAAAAGATGAAAAAGAATAACCTCTTTCCGAAAGGATATTCATAATAAGGTTGTATGCAGTATTTTAACAATACTGACTGTAATTTATCTGTTAAGACATCACTCTGCTCATCGGTGTTGATCTCACCAATACCACAAAGGTACTATATCGAAGTAGGTGGGATGGGATTTGAAACCACAACTCAGAGCTAGATATTTGAGTACTAAGGCTGATGAGTCGCACCACTCCCGAAAACAGTGAGTGAGTAATTATGGTTTATTTATCTACACCAAACTTCCAATCGCCGGGATACGGGATAGAAATCCATTCCATGCATAAAATTCTAAGGGATCAAGTAGTATCATGAGTCATTGTAACAACTGACGTTGTCCATAACAGATACACAAACGGGAATAGGAATGTTGAGTTTTTTCATTACTTGTTGAGTTTGTTTGGTAGTCCAAACATTTAGTTCGTAATCATTGGGTCGGAATTAAAACGTATTTCAGTCAGGTAAGATTAGTTTCACACATCATACGTTTCACCCATTGCTCAACACAAATAACCGATGAGTAAATTCACGTTTTACCTTTTGTGAACTTGAATCACATTCAGAACTAGATGAGCATAGAAACAAAATCTTTGAATAGCTATCCCCATGGTCCCAGTGGTGACAAACCTGGACTAATCAACAAACGGTGCCGCGCCATTATAACTGTTACTAATAATAATTTTCATGAATACAAGTCCGCTAATAATAATTATTATTAGTAACAATTACAATAATTAGTGAACTCAGTAGACAACACATCTAAAATTCACGCTTACATGTAGAAGTAAAAAGACACAGCGAAAGACTAATACAGTGTTTTACAAATGAATCATTACCACCCACCGCCAAACTTTATTAAGAAGTATGTATGAGAGAATGAATATCCTAAGAGATTTTTTCTGAAGTATGGAATAGAAGAGATCAGGAGAAATAAACAACCAACTGTGTAAAATACCTTCTACACTTTGCATTCAAGGGAGATCCAGCATCCAAGCAAAAAAGACACAAAAATCAAAGGAGCACTGAAAATGAGCTCTCCTGCCGCCAAACCTGTGTCGGTATACAATACTACATGCCCGCTAAACCAGTCAAAGTAGGATAATTACCCCGCTCATTCCACTTCCAGTTGTATTTATGAATTCAAATGAACTTGTGGTAGCTAGTACATTGAAAGGACTGAGAGTTGAGTGCCCATTCGGCTAGCTGAGTATATCCCCAAAAACCTGTAGTTGAAATGAAGTCAAATTCTAACCAGTGTAATTATCAGACACCACTTAATCACAGGACATCAGATTGAAACCCCAAGTGCTTTTAAAATAATAAATGCACAGAAAATATCTGGATAACTGCGTTTCACGAAAGCGACTGTAATAAAGTGCTTTCAACCTGGCCTTTGCATACACAAGGGGGGTGTGGTTAGTCTCTTAATCTCTTGATCAATATGATTTGATCCTGTTTGATTTCCATTTTTACTACACAACTCTTTATTTATTTGTTACCGTTAGTACTTTTCCTTTCTTACATTTCATATCTTTACAATTAATCCTCTTGCATGTTATATGGATTATCATCGGTTTCGTTGTACAAATTAAGATTTTTTCCCTGATTTTGAAGTATGTCATATCCTAATAATCAATACACATCTAAACTGTATGTAGCTGAAGAGTAGTCGTGAGGTAAGATGATACTTTATTCTTAGAATTTCGTTCTTTTTGCTTTACCCAAATTTATCAAGGAATCTAACTGCATGAAAAAAATATGTAACTATGTACTATAATGATTGACAGCGCAACCTACAGATGGATGCTTTGATGAGGAATCTAGATAAATTGTCGCGAAATTTACAAAAAGATAAAGTGTAAAGGTGACACTAATAAGGTTTACCTTTCGATGAAGGTTCACTGGATCCAGTATCTTCAATCTCAGCTGGCTTAGAATCAGGATCTTGTTCTAATAATTTTTTATCACCACCACTATCAGCCATGTTTCTTGTTTCTTCAGCCTCTGATAAAAGTTGACACATCTTAGTACCAGAATGTTGAGTTAAGATATGCAAATCCTCAACACAGTTATCCAATAATTCTGGTTCAACTACACCATCTAAAACATCACGTAGTATTCCCCGAACTTGGCTACCTTCTAGTTGACTCGAGGTATCATTTGTACTAGGTGTAGCAGTATCTTTAACACACTCATCAGTTTCACTCGATAATTCTTTAGTATCACTTAGGAGACCTGAAGTTTTCAGAGAATCTGAGGTTTCAGCCAGTAAATGCTGTATGCCTTTAGAACATCCGACATCTAAAATCCATGATAGAAAGAAAACAAAAAATAAATGAGCATGAGCTAACTGTTTATAAGAAACACTAATAAGTGTAACCCGGCAAAATATTTAGAAAGAGAAGCCTTCAGCAAGAATAGGCAAACACTATAGAATAACAAGGTACAGTGCGAGTACACTGAACTAGGTATAAGAAGATATATTGGCTTTTTCTTATTTGAAAGACTAGGAGAAATATGTTGCCAGTGTGAATTAACGAATTGAAAGAACCATAGCGCGACAAGTGTAATCCGAGACTAAATGGTTAGACGATCATAATAAACACACCTAGCAAAAATATGAACCATATTGAACTGGTAAGATGGGCGCAGTAATGGTCTTCAGATAGGTCAGTTACATCTAACATTACCTACCTTTAGTATTAGTGTTGGATAGTAGCTAGCAGTGAAATCTAGGACGCGTGTTTCGTCCTATTCAGAACTCATCAGTTGGACGTAATTGCCTCCAATGAGCGGTGTTGTTCCCACTACCCGTCGTTAATATCAAAATTGAAAAACAGCCAATATCTAAACATTTGTACAAGAGCCCATATGCCAACAGAGACCGATCAATTTGATCTGATCAACGACGGGATAATCCAAACAACATCACTGCTTACGTTTGTTTAGCGTAAAACAGCAAACTTTTCGAGTGCTACCAAAAGAGTTGTTATATGGAATATAAAGGAAACACTAAACTCAGTGACTGGATGAATACTCACTAAAAACCTGTAAGATCAATAATAGTGAAAACCATGGACGCCGTGAGATAAATAATAAACTCTGCTTAACAATATCACTGTGAAAAGTGTAACATGGTATTCAAATGTGTCTAGGCCCCATGAGGAAAACGTTTGGAGGGAAGTTGCTTGATACGTTGGTTGTCTCTAAGTGGAGCTCAGTGGCTTAGGGAGATAACTACCATCCATTGGGTCGCGGGTTCGAATCCAGCTACATTCACTGAGGTTTGGGCAGCCCACGCACAATATGAATGGCTCATTGCCTACTGCACGAATGTGCAGTGTGTTGCCGAATCCATTTCGATTCGATCCGATTGCCCCTAGTTTCATACTGACCCTAAAATCCCACCTCTAACTACTGTTCAACTGGTATAAACTCCAAGCAAATACTATCTGTAGTTGAAGTCATGAAAGGCTGCAATTTCACTCGCATCCTTACTCTTGAAATTGATGACATTGTCAAACATCCAGTGTTTACTTAAGCATACTTAATGATACGAGATATCCATCAAAAAACTTCGTTGAAAACACTTCATTTACTCGGAATTTTGTAATGGAAAAGGAAAGTAGCACTAAAAAAGTAAAACAGAATTAATCCCACAAATACATTTATAATTGTAAGATAGCTACTTAAAAAGGGTCCATATTATGAATTATACACAGGACTTGTGAATAAGAAGTGAAATTTAGAGACCAGTTGAGTACCACAATAGCCATATTGAAAATTCATCATAGTAAAAGGAGAGATGAGACTCGTGATTATTCAGAACAAATGAACACAAGCACTGTCTACCAAGTTTGAATTTAAATTGAACTTACCTATTTTGGAAAGCTGTGTAGAAATCGTACGGGCTGTATATTTCCCAGACAGTTTCTGTAATTCACTATCTATACGACGCTCTAGTTCAGATATTTCCATGGTAATACGCTCCATTGCACCTTCTGACATACTCTGATAAAGCAGAAGGAAAAATCGAATTGGCATTGCCTTATGATACGAGAATACAAATGGTGAATACGAGATATCATTAGAAAACAAGGACAGTTGTTTAAAACTAAGGTAACCAAACGGGAAAATAGATAGAGAGACTGGCAGACAGACACACAAATCAACATGGGACCTATCACAGTGCTACATCAGTCAAAGTTGCCACACTTCACAGCAGTATGCGAAGAAAAAGTGGCTGGAATAAGAGTGATATCAAATTTACCAGAAGTGGATGAGACGAAAAAGAAATTAAAAATGAAGGCAAGCGGAAATGTTCAAACTCTAGAAGACATCAAGGAGTGAATTTTTCTGCACCATTGTAGTCGATATTCAGTTATGTCCCCAAGGGTCCATGCAACCATTGATTCTTGTTATCTTGCGGATCCTAACCAAGTAGTCTACACCTTCGAACACGACTTAGACCAACAGTTACACCATGGACTGATGCCATGCTTCGGTTCGACCACCTTAATCCTTCTTCCGAACCAATCCCACTTCGGCTATCACAACACATTGAGGTAGACATTGGCTCAGCAAATACAACATATATCCAATATACCTCAGTCGCTGAGGGCTAAAAACCTCATCAGCTGAATCGCCTTCCTTGTCTAGTACCCTCCGCCTAAACTCGACATTGTTCACATGGTGATTCCACTATGCATGAGTAATGCTAGGCAAACATCTTTGGTCAAAAACCTGCATTTTTTAAAAACTACTTTGAATGGTCATCTCAACCGTATAATATAAAAGAGCAGACTGCAGTGCAGTATATTCGTCGTTCGATATGCAGTTGGATATTCCATCGACGCAAGCTTTCAAATACCAAACAGGCTTTTTGCATCCAAACTGAAACTACGTCAACATATTGCGGCTAACGAAATTTCACAAATGAAGCGGTTAACGTATATGACTTCACTACTCACCATTAAATTAGAAGCTGGCCCCGACTAGTTCTGAAGCTTTGTCTGACATTTGACACGTGCAAAACGTACGCCGAACACTCAGATTTCTGCTCAAGTTTTCCAGAAAAAACTTTCACCTAAAAGACTATATTGTCTGGGTACTCCAAGTTAACCAGGTGCCCTCCTAGAAGTAAGTCGATCCCTTTAAAGCCAAAAGTACCTGGTGTTATATCGATCAGCACACCTGTAACAAACTCAAACAGTCATGGTGATAGTGTGAATCCTAAGTAGACACCGCTGGTTGTCATTACTTCAGATAATAACTATTTCATAAGCCGTTACACGGTCGCGGGAGTTCGAATAAAGAGTTTTGATTAGCATTGCACTTCTTTTTACTACCCTGTTCACAGTCGGGCAATGAGACAATACTTTTCACTAGACAGAGTCAAATGCCACCTAAAACCTAGAAGCCAGAATATAAAGTATTTTCTATGAAGATAACTGAACAAGCTAATAACTGGCTTTTGAAAAACAGTGTAACCTAAAGTTCAAAAGAATGTCGAAAATCCTAAAGACGGATACTGTTCATTATTAGCACATCATAAGGAATTGTAACTAGGGATTGAATGGTGTGGAAATGTTCCGAAAATTATGAAAAGTTCAATTATTCTTATATGTAAGGGAAATGATAATTCATTCTGTTTTCATTCAAGTGTGACACGATTCTCTGGGCCGTTACATATCAGACGAAAATAAGCGAACACAATTTTAATGAAATTTAAGGAAGTTGACAGCATACAGGCAACTTATCAGTCCACAACTAAAACTCCAAATATAAGAAACTCCGATGATAGTAAACTAATCGGTGAGTAGAACCCAATAAAATAAAAAGCCAGCGAACAACTCAGTATTCAAATGAAAATAAATGTTGTTTCATGAAGATTTTGACAGGCTGCTAAACCTTGATGTAGTTCACTAAAAATGTTCACAAGTAGAATGCTTATAGATGAATGCTCGATACGGGGCTAGATGCGAGCACAACACTGAAAGTCATCAAAATAGCTTTTAATGGTGCCGAAAATTCACTAAAAAGAAGGATATAAGCATTATCAAGTTAGTATCTGAGCTATCGTAAGGAACTGAGTGGTTTGTAAGAGTTGATATTAAAAATGACATTTCTTTACCAACTGATATCACTTAAAGAATCTTTGGAAACCAAGAAGCACTAAGCATCTGTTTCACCTTACCTCAAAACCTCTTACTTGTGAACACCCAGAATGTCACAAAAAATGTAGACCGAAGGGTGATTTTGCAGTAAATACTATCTTTAACTGGTATCAGCTTGCAATGAAAAACTAAACAGTAAATCACAATCATCTCACTTCACTGATCTTGTGTTTACTCAGTATACATTTGTGAATGTTTTCATGAACTAGCGGTTTTAGTGCCTCTGATAAATCTTCACAAATATCCGTTTCATGATACTGTCATTATAACGATTGAATATACTAACTAGATAATACACGCCTAACTTAACGTAGTATACAATAAAATTTCCAAATCGTGGATATAGGGTAAAAAAATTCGATAAAGTTGGATTGCTTTTCACTTTTTCTGATAGCAAGAAAACTTACTTTTAACTTTTCATCTTCCTGTTTCATTGAGGCTACAAATGCTGGTGGATCTTGTTCTTCGGTATAATCAACTGAGAAAAACGCCTCAATACTAAGAGCAGATGATGGAGTCCGACCGAATTCTTCTAATCGCTTTCTCGCAGTACTTTGACTGATTCGAGCTGAAATATCGTAAGCAAATTAGCATAAAAGTTGTTTTACCACATTAAACTTGAAACCTACTGACAAATGATGAGATTGATAACACATTTAGTGTATATTTAGATGTATGCTGTAGCAGTTAAACTATGGCCAATTGGGAATTTCTGAACACATGAAATACGAAACATTATCTTTAAAATTAAGATCAACTGATGGTAACTAATTATGGGTTTTAGTTCTTTGTTAATTGCAGCCTATTAACTGACAACTTCTTTATGAATTTGAAAGATGAGGCATGAATGCGCATTCCTGATGAGTTTGAGCTCATCACTACATGGAGCATAAAGTTTTCTAGAAGACACAAACTCAGTTCACTTAAACAAAACAGGGGTATTTATAGTCTCTTATTAATTAATATCCGACAAACAACTAAAGTACTGAGAACTCGGCTTAAAATATTCGCCAGTTTATGCTGTGATTATAGAAATTGAATAGAAATGAAATTAGCAACCTTGTGTTCACATTCGTGCAGTAGGCGATGAGCCACATCTATTGTATGAGGGCTAGTGATCCTACACGGCTGCCCCAACCTAAGCGAGTGCACCGGGCCTCGAACGCGTGACTCAATGTTTGATAGTCCCTAAACCACTGAGCTACAGTACCATTTTGCCTACCTTCTTGTGATAAAGAAGGTACACTAACTTTCCAAATCTAGGTAAAAACAACTGAACAGATAATGATAATGATTTCTATTAAGTTGTCAATCCTAAGATCGTCGGAAAAAGAATTCAAAGAACTGTTTTTATCAGATAGTTTTACCGCAGAGTTGCAAACTCTTCATAAAAATTTAAAACTTTAATCATTAAATGTCAACTGAGTTTACTTATTCGCTTACTATATTTTTAATAGCAAAAATCATAATTTCATTGTGTTACCCCTTAATATTTGCAAGCTAGTTTGTTCTTTTTCTGAATACATCCTCCATAAACACTACTTTGGACAAAAAACATCCTAAGCTACCTTACACAATTATTCCTATTTTCCATTTCATCCCAAAAATGAATAGCTATCTTAGAGTTTCGCGAATAAGAATTATGTTTGAATTGAAAGTTGTGAGTATCATTTGTAATTATTAACATTATTCTCTGATTCAAATGTTTAACACAGCAGGAATTCTTGTCAATTAGTTTCTTAACAAGAAATCAGTTCGCAGTTCATTAAATTTGTAATTATTAGAGTATAAAAAAATTCTATTAACAGATTAGAAAACGAACTATTTTGGATCTGACAGTAGTTTTTCGAGTCATAAAAAAGTGCGTCTATTTCAAAATGTAATGTCTTGATTACAATAGGAAGTTGACTGTTACAAAGAAAAACAATCAACTGTGATACATACCGATTCGAGCTACATCCTCCTCCGTCCTGTTGAATTCATGAATGCGTGCAGCTACAAGAAGTGCGGCAGCCGCCAATCCACTAGGTCTCCGACCAGTTGCGATCCAGTCTTTCTTCATCCTTTGCAGTAAACGCATTGCAGTCGTAGCAACTGTTGATACTTTATCTCCAAACTCTAATTGACTGGCGAAACGATCGATATATATACAAGGATCTAAAATGATAAGTAATGGGAAATTATAGATATATATATATATATATCTTTAGGCAGAACGAAAAGTAACTTTTTCTTTTTTCAACAGTGAGGCCAAATTAAAGTTTTCCTACAGTGCTGATTGGGAATGAATATATGCTAAATAAAATGATCACTATCGTACATCTTTTATTCATAAAAAACATGTTGAGGTTAAGATCTCAAAGTTGTGAGTCACATGAACAGTAAAATGAAAAGGATTGCAAACTGTGAGTTTGTAAGTGAAATGAAATTAAAATTTCGACCGTGGCCGGATTCGAACCAGCGAACACCAGGTTTCCAGCCTGATGTTCCACCGAACGAGCCACGAGGTTTGTAAATGTTTGAAATATTTTATTCCAAAGGTGTAAAACCGTTAGTATATAACCAGGAGGAAAATGACTAACCACCAAAGTTTTGCAAAGTGTTCGACAGGTATGAAAAAAGATTAGTGATGTTTAAGATTGTAATTTATTAAACAAACAGTGGTGATGATGCAGTCCATACTGGGCACTCAACTTTGAATCAGTGGATTAATTGATTAACCCGAAATTATTCATGCAGAACTTTGGCCAAGTTATGATATAAAGGCTTTTTTGGTGTTATTTTCAGTTCACACTTACCGTGATAAAGTTGTTAGCAAGACGTAGAGAAACGACGGTTAAAGGTAATTTTATTTCGTTTCCTTTAAGAAATAAAGACTTCAGGTTGCAGAAGACTTCTTATAAAGAACCGGAGTTTATTAAAACGATCTAGGTTCAACTTGGTTCTGTATTCGTAAGTGAAATCGAAATATTTTTTTAATGTTTGGTGCTAAAATGAAAGACATTACTGAAATATTGATGACCTCCTAAGACTATGATAAACGTAAAACTAACCCAATTCTGGTATGGCCAAATTAAGTCGTTTCTTCAGATCTGCATAAACACGACCCAGAACGTATACATTAATACCAACTGCATCGCTGAGGTCTAACAACATCAAATTGACACGCAACTGGCGCGCTGCTAGATATATACAACCTGCTGCAACTGTAAAAGCATTGCGACCTCTTGTAAGTCCACGAAAAAGTGCACTTTGATAATAGCGGAAGGCGGAGACCGTAATGTCATTCCCAAGACGTAATTGACCACAAATTGTGTCGATTCTCCGACGAGCTACAATGATTAAGTTTTAGACAAGTTCAACTGTGGAAAAATAAGCAGAAATCATTAAAAATAGGTCCAGAAAAAAGGAAATACTGATACCAGTGCACTATATCAGATTAAGTCATGAGAAAGTACTTTATTTCCACCTCTTTAACCAATCTGCTACCACGTTAAAAATACAAGGGACACTGGGGAAACTTATCCAATGAGTTAGCAGAACTGACAAAAAACATTTCAAAAACGGAAAGAACTATGATTTCTAATAATTTACAGAAGTTTAGATCCTTTAAAGGGAGAACAAAAATCGACACTTCCATCTTAGGCAACACTAGTGCATCCATTACACCTAAGCTTTAGTTTAATAAGAAGTGCATAAAAATGACTATGGAAACATATAATTAGCGAGCCATTCATATTTTAATGGGTAACGCTTTCTAGAATGAACGTTTTGTGAAAACTTCAATCAACTGTATCCAATTACCACACGATGAGAAAGATGAATGCATAAAGTTATAATTTGTTTGATGTTTAATAAATTATGGTTGGTTGCTTGGCAGTTACAAAACCCTGGTTTCAAACCAAACAGTTGACTAAATTTTTAAGTTTTATGTATGTGCACGAGGTCGAACTGTTAACGAATATCGTTGAACTTAGCCATAGTGTTTCAAGCGTTTATTTTTACTCAGATTTTGAGATGACAAACCATCTTTGTTTAAACGTTGAGATTGTATTTGTTTTCACAAAATAAACGAAAAAATACAAAAACAACTGTTTTACGTACCATTTGTGCGACTTTTCAGTTTTTTCGGTCAAGTGATAGTTTGATTTTATTTCTGAAGACAGTATTCATCATGGATTAACATATACGGGGACCGACGAAAACCATGGATATCTTAACCGGAGTCTGAGATTCCTTAGTGACGCACTTCCAAGGAAAATTGATGCTTCAGGCAATTAGACATCAATGTCTTTGGATAAATAGTCAGAGTGTTCAACACCGAATTTGTGTGAGAAACGGAGCATAGGAAGTAGGAAAATTCAGAAACTTCTTAACATGATTCAGCCGAAATGTTCTCATGCTTTGAGTATGCATAGACGGAAGTAACACTGAATCGAGGCAAATTCAGTGACAGATTTTTACAAAAAAGGTACATTTTGACACCATTTCATGGATCTTATCACTGATAAAACGCCCAGCATTCATGGACCATTTTACATCCATCATATAAGTCAGAGATCACGACTTCAGTGATGATTTCAAAGAAAACTTCTTATAACTGAAAATGCACAAATGCAGCCTTATCAGGAGCATGAATACTCACAACTGGATAAGCTACGCAATATCTATGAGCTTCGAATTTGAAAGCATAGTTCCTTGTAACGTAATCTCAGTTGAAATCGAAATGTGTTCGAAAACTTTGTCCAATTTCGTACAGTACGCAATGAGCTATACCTACTTTGTAAGGGCTAATGATACTATCCGACTGCTCAAACCTCGGTAGGTAGAGTGGTGACCCACTGATTGAAAATCATCTTGCTAAACTAATGAGCCATAGCTCTGCGAACAATCTAATTGATGGTGGTAGTACGATGCTGTGGAAGTTTTGTGAAGACAAGCAGAACTGCTATCAGTAAAACCACAAACCCTTTAAGGCAAAAAAGTGGAGTAAGCTGAAGTGATAATCCCCCCACCGAATTTAACCGGCGAAAATTCCAGGGAGTCAAAAACTCACGATTAAAATAAGAAAACGTTATTAAGGATTATGATATATTTTTTGAGCAAAAGGTCGCGATAGTTTGCTTTAATTTCCATAGCCTCAGTTACGCATACAATACAAATACAAACATCCAGAAGTTCGAGTGAAATGGGATAACTTCAAACGCTTCAAGTTTGTCGAAGACAACCACTATCTACAGAATGCGTCGAAACTGGACTGTGTATTGGCCTAACTTATTCATTTCTTGGAGACGAAAGCATTTTTTCTGGAACACGTATACTAAGATGCCTAATAGGAGGCTCAATATTGATTTCTCAACAAAAGAAACTGAACTTGTAAACATGGGTAGAAATGGTGACCAGGCAGGTTGCCGCTGGTCTGAGCAACAGTAAACTGCATATTATTGTTAAACATTTTTGGGCTACCACACCGGTTTACTTATCTCCGTTACTGCGCATAACTAGTAACAATATGTGAAATTAAAAACTAAAATTTGACCTGGTAGAGTTGAATAAGTGGAGAGTTGGGTAAGTGGATTTTAAGTGAAACATAGAATTAAATCTATTTACTATTTAAACAACCGATAACTTATACAGGTTTTAATCTCTGAAGAAGCAATTTCCACAACGTCGCGAAACGTCAGAAATTTATTTTTCCACTTCATTGGGATTTTACAAATATATTTCATTTATAATGGCATTATGACTAACCTAATAGTTAATAATTATGCATTTCAGTAGGTTTGTCTCACAAAAATCACCATTAATTTAAGTATATATGTTTATCAGTCAACGCGAAATCTGAAACAATGAAGCAATATAATTTGCTTATGTCATCCTAGAAAAAATTTGTGTAAACTATTTGAATAAGTTGAGGGAAACTATTCACTAAATCACAAAAACCTACGACTTCTTCCCCCTGAATATAAGTTTTTTTATAATTGAGGTGGGGAAGTGATAATACAAAGCATAAAAACACTCAAAGCATGCATTAACTAACATAAGTCAGAAACTACAGGATTATGCTAGCTGCATCACGCCACCAGTACCTCAACCCATTATACACAGTGATAAGAAGCAATTCAAGATTGATTCGAATGCTGCAAGCAATGCTAAAGAATTTTCCATAGTCGGACTTATCTATCAATCATATGCTACATCAATCTGAGTAGTGGAATGCAGTTTACATGCAGCAATGAACGTCCGATATTCAAGACGAACGACCTTTGGAATTAATATGGTTTGAAACAGAGTCGCAATTGGTAAGGAATTTGACAACGTGAAAATTCACCGAAAAAACTAAGCAACTTAAATAAGCAGCAGAAAACGCTTCATGAAATTTAACTTATTAGTGAACAACCAGCAGGAACTCAACGTTACCTTTATTTTCTGTAACCTGACGTGACTCCTTTAGGTTTGCAGCTTGGCCTAACAAAAAGTGAAAGAAACAATTTAACCATACTTCCATCTGACACAAATCGTCCAACGGCAGTACATTGACCAGCACTAGTTTCAATGAATTCTACTTCTGAAGAAATGACATTTTCACCCATTACCATCCCACAGTCCAAACATATTAGGTCTGCACGAGCACGGTCTTCCTCTAAATTAGAGCTGCCACAATGTTTGCACTTCATTTTTATTGTAGCGAATCTCTTAAATCCAGCGCTGATTTCATAGCCGAAACAACAAACTTTGTTCTTCGAACTCCATGTTGTAGAAACAGTGAAAAGTTTTCTCCGCGTTCTCCACATGTTCTAACGGAATAACTTATGTGTTTGAAGTGTTCACAGCTCCTTCTCAGGTTTCGCTAAACCTGAAAAGACAAATATATTCAATTATGAACAAGTCAGCTCTCTACTGGTGGTGCGGCTACCCAATACCTAACATATTTATGCCCGCTGATGTAAACCAATTGATTTCCCAGTGACTGCTTCCAACTCTTGCGAGACGGTTACAGGTTATTCGTGGATTCCGATGAAGTAGGCCTACCCACTAGCCTTCTGTACCTGTGGTCAGTCGGACTGGCGGTTGAGTGTTGAATAAATTGATATGGATAATATTGTTTTTCCAATGAGTGCGGCACGGATTGGTTCCCTGAATGTCGTGTCACTAAACAGTTGTTCGGACCGGTTGTAAAAAGGAGATAAAAAGGATGAACAGATATTAAGCGAAAATGAAGCAAATGTGTCGTTAAGAAACAGAACGAAAGCAAATGAGAAACCTAGATAGATCCATGGGAGATAACTGTGGTAGGTAGAACCTTGATAAACAGGATGAGGTCACAGAGCAAGAAAGAACCAAAGGGAAGGAGAGGGGCGAGTAGTATTTCTTTAGGGCCCTGATATATAAGCATGTTGCGTTTGAAATGGCTTCCTTGACTTTGGAGACAACGAGTCTAGCCACGTCGTCCAAAGTCAAGCACTTCATAGTCCCCCCCAAATTACATCCATGAATGGTCTCATGACAGAGACATAGTTCGGTATAAACCTTCGGCAATAACTTCCCGGGCCACTGAAGGTACTTAACAGTGGTCAACTCTAGTTAGTTCTTGATAGCCGCCACTTTATCTCTCAGCGGGTATATGCCTTTGTTGTCAGTGGTATGCCTAAGCCGAGCGATCCAACTCCTGTTTCACATTTCTGTAAGTTGACTGTGATGCCATGTTTTCTCAGTCTACTAAGTACGAGGTCCAAATGTTTATGGTGGGTTTCCTTATCTAGACCCGTGGTGTGACAATCATCGATTTAGACGTGGATAAAATTTAAACCATGGAAGAAATTATCCATAAAGCTTTCGAATGTTTGTGCTGCATTCCGAAGACCAAATGGCATGCGCAGGGATTCAAATACGCCAAAAGAAGTAATAATGGCTGTTTTCGCGATATCTTCTGCTGCTATAGGCATCTGGCTATACGCCTTGAACAGACCGATTTTAGAGAAAACGTTCATTCCTCATAACTTCCCAGTCAAGTCGTAAACATGAGGTATCGGATAGCGGCCCGGCATTGTTTTGGCGCTAAGCCTTCGGTAGTCACCGGTCGGACACCAGTCGCTGCTATCCTTTCTGAGAACCATTTGCAGTGGGGATGCCCAAAGACTAGTCAAAGGTTTGGTAATGCTCAGTTCGAGCATGTGGTAGAATTCACTCTTCGCGCTTTAGAGCTTACCAGGGGCCAGACGGCGCGCTTTGGGTGCCACAGGTGAACCTGTGATTGTGATGTGACGCATAGCATTGCTGGTCATGCACGGAAGAGTGTGCTTCGGTTGTCGCAACTCTGGATATTTCTCCAAAACTGCTTGATGGGACACGTAGCCTGATTGTTTGGTTCTAAGGATGGTTAAACTCAGACCTACATACGTGGTGCCGCCAGTAGATCACTTTGTGTTGTTATCAATCAGATGTCGACGGCGAGCATCTACAAGTAGATCGTAATGGTTTAGCAAGTCTATCCCAATGATGGGCGTAGAAACGTCAACCAGGAGGGAACTCCAGTGGATAGGTTTACGTAAACCTAAGTTGAGTTAGGCATACTGTCTCCCGAACGTCGCGATTGCCTTGCCGCTGGCTGCTTGGAGATTGAAGGATGGGTCGTGATGACTCTCCTTTGTCGGTGCGTGGAGAACGCTAACTTCTGCGCCGGTGTCCATGGGGTAGCGAACTTTCATTTTTATATCCGTGACGTAGAGCAAACGGCTGTTTCCACCGGCTACGTTCGCCATGAACGCCTGCCGGTGTGACAGTTTCCCGAGCTTGTGTCCACGCTGAAACTGCATGGCTTCTGGCATCTTCTCGCTTTTTCTCAGTAAGTATTATGAAACCAGCACCATTTCGGGTTTTCCACCCTGTTGGGTTTAGTTTTGGGGCAACCACGAGAGTTGCCGCGATGCGCTAAGGTGCGTTTCTGTGAAGTGCTGCGTGAGCTAGGACTTCGAGATCGTAGCAACTGCTTAACAGAGTTGCACAGCTTGGTCATCTCTGAATCCTGGCTTTCCGGTTCATCACAGATGGAACATACGTTGGAGACGGGCCTGTCAGAGATCTCCAGTGTCTCCAGCAATCTAAACCTAAAAGTCCTGGTTCGAGTATACTGCCAAAGCCTGTGGCACAGAAACGTTTTAGCCAGCCCTGAAGTAACTATATTCAGACTGTTAAACCTAATGGTTATAACGCCATTGGAAGAGTGACCCCGTTTCCTTAAGCAGATACTTTCACGACCTCTACCGATATGAAGTCAGCAGAAATTTAGGATTCATACACCAAAGTGGTAGTAAGAAAGGGAACATGCGTAAGAATGTTCAGAACACAAATGCTTCACATTGTCATGAAGACAAGGGCTACAGGAGAAACGATAGGTTTTTCTCCTCACACCCATCTATACAACATTCAAATCCAATGTATGCTTGCCCCAGTACAACTATATCATCTCTTGGTTGGAGGCCTGCTGTTCAGACGCAGCCTGTGATGTTGGCCCCCCAACATGATACACCCTACCCCTTCCCATGCAGAAGTGAAAACACAGATTTACTTGGCTCATTTCCGCAGGCGCTCATACCCAGGGCTCATTCTGCAAACCCAAATTTTCGCGGACTTCAAAAATTATTAGCGCCTTTCGCTGGTCAGATGATGACGTTGTAGAATCAGCTACTCTCAATCCTAACTCACAACCGCTACAGTGGAGAGGAAGATGTCACGCCAACCTGTCATCCTCCGGCTCATATACAGCGGGTCAACACCTAACACAATAAAGGATATTAGTAGTAACCCGGTGGTATCTTGTTCCCCTATTATGCCCCCGAAATTAAATTCTACCCCATTTTCTCACCACTGCAGTTCCAACTAACCCGCGAGAGATTGCTTTCCGAAAACAGGTTTACGTACTACTGCTTATCCAATTCTTTAACCTTCTGTCTGATTAACGCTCGTTCCATGAGCAACAAAATAAGTGAGACCACTATGTCGTCGACTATGCCTAACCCCTGCCTGATATTTATCGCTGAAGCTTGGTGTACTCCAGACACTCCTGATAGTGATGTCTCTGTCGACAATTATACTCTTCTCAGGGGAGATAGATATAATGGTAGAGGTGGTGGTTGCATCATCTATATCAGGTCCGACATTGCTGCGGCAAACTGTATTACTTCAGGACTCAATTCGCTCAGTGACTCAGTGTGGGTTGTGGAGAAGCTTACAAATGCTATAACTATCCTCTCAGGGTATATCTACCGTCCCCCTCGCTCTACTATAGATTATGACGACGGGCTTGCAGAAGTGTTCACCCATGTAACAACACTGCCCTAACCTATGAAACTTACATGCGGTGACTTTAATATGCCTGACATCAAGTGGCAGACGCTTACTTCTCCTAGGCGGTTTGATAATTCTATTATTGTGTTGGATTCTGGAGGATGGCGCCAACATGTAATGCAACCATCTAGTTTTCACCAATGGGTTATTGCCTTTCACTCTTCAAGTTTGTCCAGGATTCTCAGGCAGCGAACACAGAGTAGTGATTGGTGGCTTCCGACTACCTCCCAGAAATACGTTAGCTCCCAGGTCAAAGACAACCACAGTTAGACGATATAAAAACACCATCTGGGAAGAGATACAATACATGTTGCGATACTTGGACTGGGGTTCTTATTTCACCAGTAGCTCAACCCATGAACTAAGTAACATCTTCTACAGTTTCATGAATGTAATTCACTATCATATTGCTCTGGAGGTATCAGTATTAATTAGAAAGCCGAAAGGGAATTTCATCCCTGAAAATGTACGTATCAGCATGCGCAGACATGCCAGAAATTTCTATCGATCTAACGACTTTTCATCCCTTGTCTCATTAAAAATTTCTCATGAGAACTTCAAATCAAATAAGTTACTGAAAGCAATCAAGCAACAAACTAGCTGCAACGCACAAACAGGCGATGCTCAATCATTAGTGAGAATTCTAAAATCTTGTGCAAACTTATTCCAAGTGGTCTGATAATTGATGGGGACATTCTTCATGATGACTCAAGTAAGATATATCAGCTGTTTAGTAAACATTATGCAAGCTGCTTCACTCACGAAGATAGTGTACTAAACACACAAATGCCCATTCAACCACATCACTCATTTAGTAATGTTTCTTTTACACAGAGAAAGATGGATGATGCAGTTGCTTCACTAAATGACTCTGTTCTCCTTAAGAGGGGTGGCGAAGACATACCATTGATCCTCATGAAGCTATTCTTAATATCCCTTATAGGGGCATGCTACCACAGACCGCTGGAAGCTGTCATACATATCTCCCACGTATAAATCCAGGCCGACGTCAGAAATTCAGAATTATAGTCCCATAAATATTACATCTGTAGTCTCTCGTATCATGGAGAAGGTGGTTGTGCAAGAAATCAATGATTATGTGGCTGCGCATCAGCTACTTTCCCCTATGCAGCATGGTTTCTTAAAAGGTCGTTCATGTAGTACTTGGTTACTGGATTATTTCGAGGACGTCACCTGCAGACGAGATGAAGGTCTTTTCGTAACTGCTCCATTTTTTGACTTCAAGAAAGCACCTGATAAAGTGCTTCATAATCGGTTAATTCTTAAGCTTCAGTCATCTGGAATTAGTGACCCTCTATTATCGTGGATAAGCTCATTCTTTAGGCAGCGCACTGAAATG